GCAACCTGTTCCAGTGTTCCACCACCCTCATAGTAAAGAACTTTTTCCTAATATCCAATCTCATTCTGCCCTTTCCCAACTTAAAGCCATTTCCCCTTGTCCTGTCACTGCCGGCCTTTGTAAACAGGCTCTCCCCAGCCTTCCTGTAGGCCCCCCTCAGGTACTGGAAGGCCGCTATAAGGTCTCCCCAGAGCCTCCTCTTCTCCAGGCTGAACAACCCCAGCTCCCTCAGCCTGTCCTCATAGCAGAGGTGCTCCAACCCCCCTGATCATTTTAGTGGCCCTCCTCTGGACCCGCTCCATCAGGTCCATGTCTTTCCTATATTGAGGGCTCCAGACCTGCACACAGTACCCCAGGTGAGGTCTCACCAGAGCAAAGTGGCAGAATCATCTCTCTGGATCTGCTAGCAACACTTCTTTTGATGCACCCCAGGATGTGATTGGCCTTCCAGGGTGCAAGTGCACACTGCCTGCTCATGTCCAGGCTGTTACTTGCTGAAGATCTTGACAGCTACCACCTTGTAAACTCAAAGGGAGCCACTGCTTGAAATGACTCTGGCTGTACAGGCACACAGGCATTCTGGACAAACATTCAGAATAAAAATAGACACTAGCTGTAGTCCTTTGGATATATCTATATATACATTATTTTTACATCCCCCTCTTGTGAATAGTTCCTGTTATAACTGTTGCAATCCCATTGTGAAACTAGTAATTCACAAAATGACAAAAATATATAGTCACTTTATAGTTACATAAAATGCTCTCTATGTAAAAAAGTAATGTTTTCTTTGTAAAGTGAAGTATTTTACTGTAAGGTACAAAGTAAACATAAAAAATTTTTTGGTTTTATGAAGAAGTGTAATGTACTTTGGAGTTAATAACCAATAACTATCAGGATTAGACATTTCAAGCAATGCTTACCTCCCATCTTTTGACTTTTCTTAAAAGACTAAAATTTTTAGTCATCTTTAAAATGATCGATTTCACAAGTTGCCTGCAAAACATCCCCACTAAAACAAAAAGAAATATGACTTTGTCAAGTTTTAGAGAAAACTGGACGTAATCAAGGGGGAAGCTTAATCTTAGAGCAGATTTCTAAATTTCATCTGGAAAGATGATTGATGGGCTTTCCCCTCCCACACTGCTCTGACTTTAATCTCACCTGGAGGAGAAAGAATTGGGAGCAATCTGACCCTTAGCCCACTCAGCTCTGATTTCCAGACTACATCTGGGAGATAAGGAAGCAAAGGAGGCATTGCTTCCTCTCACCCCTAGATATTTGGGATGTTCTCTATGGGAGGATAAAGAGCAATTACCTGCTCTTGGAATTCATCCTCAAAGTGTTATTAATTTAGATCATTCCTATGTCTTATCTGACTCATTACGCATGCATGCATGGAAAAGTGCTCATTATCAAAACTCACTGAAAAGCCCTCTGATCCCATAAGCTGGCCTTTACCAGTATTTCCTTGTTCTCCCTGCAGTTGTGTTTCCTAGACCAACTGTTCTTTTTGGCCAGAAACTGTTTGGCTCCTCTTCACAAGCTCAGACCCATCCTGACTTCTTAAATGGCATCTGCTTTGTTGCATGTGCCTCAATAGCACATACCCAACAACTATAACAACCTGTTCTCTAAGGGTTAGACACAAGGTTTCTTCCACTGAAAAAGGTTTCTGTCCTCATCACTGACTTTACGCCAGTCAAAACGACCAGATTAGCAAAAACATTATTTAAACTGTTTAAGTGTTACCCATCTTGTTTTGTTTTAAACAGACCAGGGAACACACACATCTTAGCTGGAAGGTAAGAGCAGGTGCTACCTAGCCCATCAAACCAAGGCTGACTGACAGCCTCTTCAGACAAGCCATGGTGCGGGTAGAATAAGATTGCGCTTACTCATTAGTACATTTCATATCATTCCCATCAAAGCTCAGAGGCCAGCATCCATGGTCAGAGGCCTAGCTACGCATAAAGGCTCAAAACAGGCATCCTTCTCAGGAGCATTGTCACTGTTAGGGTGTGGACATTAGCTTAGAGAAAAGACTGCCAGTTTTGGCACAGCACTGTGCTGGATAGTAATGTTTTCACCTACAAAAGGTGCTTCAGATAGGAAAGACAAAGGTGATGAGCTAGACGAGGGAGAACTGGTTTACCTTCTGTGTGAGAACTTGTCACAAGTCACAGAACTCAAGCTTGTGAGAGATCATGGATGAAGAAGCAGAAAGTGTCACATCTTTAAGTGAAGTCTGGAAGTAATATGAGCAGGAACAGATTGACATGTTCATAATGCTACGAGGATATGAATCACTTCCTTCCCCTTGTTCACTGACAAAGTTATGAAGTTAGAAATACAGTCCATTAGGCATTACTCTCGTCCTCTGTCCTTGTACTTCAAATGCCTTTCAGATGCAAGGTAGAGCTAAACAGCAATAGCTGGCTAGAAACTGACGTGACCAGTGGTCCTGCTGCTGCATTACAGGCATGAGGGATGTTTGTTTTGGGGTGATGGGCTATTGCTTTCCCAAATCCATCACACGGGCTGAGAATGATAGTATGCAAAATATTCTAGTGCTGTGCGTTGTACTTTTAGAGTGCTCCCTCAGAAGTAAGTGTTGGCATGCCAAAGGTGTGGTTGCAATCTATCACGCTGGCTCATTCAAATTGTCTTAACTTAATTAAAAAGCACAGTTAAGCTCCGGGCTATCTTTTTTGAAGATCTCCTCAAGGTGCCTTCAAAGATGTTAGTCTGCAGCATGCTACAGCTTTTCAATTGCGTTAAATTAAACCCATCACAATACGCATTCTGTTTCCCCAGAACAGGGCCCAGAAGCAGAGCATGTGGTTTCCATGTTTAAACTGGAAGCACCTGAATAAGAGAAGTGGGAAAACTAGACAGTGTTGTCCCTAGCACTACCCACTACTGCTGCTTCTCTAGTGAAAACAAAATGAAAACAGGATAAGAGAGTGCTAGATTGGGAATAGAACTTCTGTCTGTAGAAAGGCATCATGAAGGTCCTACCATTTGTCCAATCTGTGTTGAAAATGATCCTTAAACTGCTATTTTTGCCACCATCTTTTATACCAAACTTGTTTTCTTTTTCATTGTGAAGTTAAAATCTTTAAAATTCATCATTAACCTCTGCTGCTCACCCTGCTTTTAATCAGAAAATGTCATCCCTGGGAAGTCTGACCTGTTATTGCATTGAAAAAGACAGACAGCCGTCTTTGAAATTAAGTAAGTGACGCAGACTTGGCTGACCACGCCAAATTGTAAACCACGAGTGCATCCGAATGTGCATGTGCTTCCTTCTAATTTCTGATGTGAGTCGTCGATTCCTATCTGTAGATGGTGACGGTGTAGATAATTTGTATTATGGTAATGTTCATAAAATAGCCAGTGAGTGGGAACTAACAATTCCGAAAGAGGAAACAGCTTCAAGTAGAAGAGGGCATGGGGAAGAGGGCAGTGGAGTGCACTTCTCTCTCTCTCTCTGGTATTACTGACACTATGTCTGGTCTATACTTCAGTTCATATGATACAGAAGTCTCCTGTATCAGCATATAGTCCTGAGTAGGCTGCAGCCACACCTGACCTTGGTACTCTACCAAAACGTGACAGGAAACAACAATTGTTGCCAAAGGCTTAGAATCTGGGTATTGAGAATCAAAGGGAAAACAAATGACCTGAAAAAGAATGAAAGATGTTGTAAGAAAATGAAAATTTTAGGAGGAAAAAACCCCAAGAAATCTCAAGTATGCTCTAAACTACTTTGATCAAGTATGACTAGCATTTATTTCAAGTCTACACCATCATTTAGATGTTTTTGTACGATGGCAGATTTAAGCCTTCAGTTCTCTCCTTGTAACACTTGATGTTATATAAGATGTCATTTTAGAAAATATGATACCATGTTGGAAACCAATTTCCTGAAGAGCTAGGAATAGAGTCATATCTTTATCTAGGGTTATACTTGCAGTTCTGGCAATTTTCTTTTTTAATAAATATGGATAACTCCATAGAACTCCAAAGGACAACAAATATTGTCCTTTATCTTATGTCTAAGTTCCAAAGGACAAGAAATGCTGTCCTGTATCTTATACCTAAGTTTCAAAATGGTGCAAAAGAGGTCAGAAATCTTCACAAAGATAGAAAATGATACAAAGCCCTTGATCTAACAACATAAAATGAGCCAAAGACATGTTTACAGAGTTGTGTTGTCTGAGAACTGAGTGGTCAAACACAAATCATCAGTTCTGACCAAGAAACTAAACAGTTACGTTAGAGAGGTTTACCAGCCCAGACCCTACATAGGGTTTGTTGGCTCACGCACAGCGCTGCCCTGAGTTACCTGGTTATGGACGAGAGCTGCTTTGCACCTTGGTGGTTTGGATCTCAGCCAGAAGAACTCTATTCTGTTTCCACAGTTTTATGTAGACAAGCCTGTATTAAATACATACAGCCAAATTAGATGAGTAAGCACTAACATATTGATCCTTCTTAAATGCAGGTTACAAACTAACGTGTAGAAGTTAGTTTAGCCCATTCCAAACTAGAACAAAACCAAAAACCAAGAACCAAACCCTAAACAAAACACTTTTATTCCTTTCAAATTACTTTTGCTGCCTTCTTGCTAGATCAATCATAGATGGTCTGCTTTAGCAACAAGGCTGGGAAAAAACAGGTAGAATACTTTGGTTTGGAAGGCACCTTAAAGATTGTCTAGTTCCAACCCCCCTGCCATGGGCAGGGACACCTCCCACTAGAGCAGGTTGCTCAAAGCCCCATCCAGCCTGGCCTTGAACACCTCAGGGATGGGGCATCCACAATTTCTCTGGGGAACCTGTTCCAGTGTCTCATCACCCTCACAGTAACCCTGATAAGTGTTCTTCAAAAGCAGCCAGTGTGGCAGATACAGAATGCAAAACATTGAAAGGCAGGGGGTGTTTGGTTTTTTTTTTTTTTTGTCCTTTGCCAAGGGGCTGCTAAGATAAAAGCCGATGGCGTTTAAAACAGCTTATCAGCCCCCCCAGATGCTACCAAGTATGCGAATCGTGATTTGAACGCTCCTCAAGGAGAGAGCGGCTCCCTGTCTGACTCTCCCTTGCCCCCACACCGGACAGTGGGAAAAATTTCTTCACCGAAGGGGTTGTCAAGCATTGGAACGGGCTGCCCAGGGAAGCGGTTGACCCGCCATCCCTTGAAGGTATTTGAGACGTGTAGATCTGCCGCTGAGGGACGCGGTTTAATTGGCAGTGCCAGATTTAGGAGTGAGCGATCTTAAAGGTCTTTTCCAACCAAAGGATTCTACGGCGGGGACCACCCTTCCCCAGCTTGGCGCCAGCCGGTGCCGCTGGAAGCCCAAAGACCCGTTCCCGACCGAAACTCCCTTTCCCTTCGGGGGGCGCCACCCGAACCTCTCAGCCACCGCCTTAGCCCGGCTTCCCCCACCGGAGCAGGGACCCTCCGGCCGCCCCCGCCTAACTTTGGGCCAGAGCGACGGAAAAACTCTTGGTAGCAGGGGAGGCGGCGGCCCGCCCCAGCTCTCCTCCTCCGCCGGCTCCGGTGTGAGGGAGGATGAGGGGAGGCTGCGC